TAATATAAATCCATGTAATAAATCTCACTCTTTTTCACTCTTTCTCTTTCTCTCTCTCTCTCTCCCCCTCTCTCTCTCTCTCTCTCTCTCTCTCTTTCTCTTTCTCAAGCTTTCAGCATCCATCGAGAAAGGTACTTATTATCAAAGTATTCGTTCACTTCGTTGAAACGTATCGACGCGTTAAACGCAGTCTCGTTCGAGCATGACAACAGGTTTTTACGGTTCTACGATCAGTTAGAATTTTACCGAACGACTATCCTTAATACCATTATTATTTCCTATATAGAGATGTTCTCCAAATGAATTTGATAGTTAAATAATCATACAAATTGGATATCCCCTAAGTTTCCAAGTACATAAGTCACAATTCTATTATCGTCTCGATATCGTTTATTCTCATCCATTTAGAATCATGTATTAAATGTTATATCCTCCATTCTGACCACTTAGATAAATCGTTAGAATCTAATTTATATTATGATATCTGAGATATTCGATAATTTGTTTGCTATACCATTCCTAATTCTTTTCCATTATTTATATTCTCATATATCTTCCATTATTTATATTGTCATTATATTTCTCTTTCTCTCTCTCTATTCATATATATATATATATAGACGTACGTGTGCGTGTATGTGCGTACAAATTGGCTCATCCTTTCTAAGTAGTAAATTTTCTTCATTCTTTCTTTTTCTCTCTTTTTTTTTTTTCTCTTTTCTTTTCCTTTCTTTTTTCCTTTTTTTTTTCTTTTCCATGCATAGAAGAAGTTAGGAAAAGTGAAAAAGTAAAGAGCACTTTCCTTCGCATACTTTCGATGGATTTTAAAGTGCACGTAACGTCGTCGTTCGATGGTGAAAAGAAACGACGGGAGTTAACGTCTTGTATGCGAGCGACCGATCATGACTTCTCGTCAATTTTAACAAGGAAAAGTACTTCGGGCTACGACTTTTAATTTAATTTTCTCCTTTTTAATTTTCTTTCCATCTTTCTTTCTTTCTTTCTTTCTTTCTTTCTTTCTTTTTTCCTTCTCTTTTTTTTTCTCTTTTTATTTTTTTTTCTTTTTTTTTTTTTTTTTTTTCATTTTCTTTGCACTCCTACTTTCATTTGAATTAATCCAAGAGTTGAAATTGTTTTAACGATATAACGGTTAGGATTATTTTTGAAAAAAATTTCCTTACGACGGAACATTTACGAAATCATGAAATTTTAACGGAACAATACTGTCTTATAATTATTATTTTACTTTATAACGTTTTATTTTATAAAGTAATAATTATATATCATTCAAAAGTTAATAGCTATTTTATAAAATAGATATCTATATATTCATGGATAATATAGATTAAATATTAATAATAATTAAATTGTTATACGAGTAAACGTGCGATTAAAAAAAAACGTACATTTAAAGAACATACATTTCTTCTCGATTTTTAATTATGTATACATATATATATATATATATATATATATATATATTAAGACGAAACGCATGAAAAATAGTTAAATAATATTAATCCTCATAAATTTTTCACGAAACGCTTATTGAATTTACGCAGAACATATACTTCGGGATATGTCGATTTAAAATTAAAAACCTAGAAATTAGGTTAAAAATTATATGACCTAGTAAAAGATTGTATTAGAAAGATTTTTATCGATTCTTTTTTTCGAATTTTTATCATTTCTTTTATATGCATATATATACATAAATTTAATTATTTATAAGCTTTGTTATCTATTTATAATATCATTTATTATCATTTGTTATATATATTTAATTATTTATTTTCTCTCTCTCTCTCTCTCTCTCTCTGTTTCTGATTTTTTGTTCAGATATAAGAAAATTTCATTAGAAATTCCTTAAGAATTCTAAAATTTAAATAACTCTTGATGCTGTCGAGATTTCGGTAGGTGTGAGAATTTCATTCTCCCTTAAATAAATGAAATAAAAATCTTTCGAGCACGTCCTTCGCTGTTTCGGATTCCCGAAGAAGGACAAGGTCGCGAGACAAAATACAATGTAGATACACAGATACATACATACATACATACATATATACATACATAGATATATACATAGACGATGTGTCGAATGTCCAGTGTATAAACGATCGAAGGGCTTGTACTATGTACCCTTGGGTTATAACAGTGACCTTTTTCTCTAACAAAGTAATTCATAATTCCAACTCGTTATTTATCCATTCGACGTTAATAATAAACGTGGATGAAGCACGTTAACGCGTGGAATAAACGAAAATTAATTGACAATTTTTAAGTGAAGAATGGTCCTTTCTTAACGATTATCAAGTTAAATCTTTTCAAACAATCGACAAAAAGTTTGTTAATAATTTATTTTAATTTATTATTATGAAATAAATTAAATAAAATAAATATTAAAAAGTAAAATATATATATCTCTTTACGATGGTTTTTATTTTTGATTTTTTTTCTTTTTTATTTCTTTTTCATTTTCAATTCTATAAAGCGTCGCAAATTAATTAGCTAATAATTTATTATTCATTTCGTATTAAATGTATTATACGTACAGACGATATGTAACCATTTATATTAAGAACGTGTAAAATTCCGGTTTTGTTTGATACAAAATGTACATTTATTTTATTCCAACGAATTAAAATTCCAGAGATAAACTTAGAAAGACATGACTATTTTAGGGGATAATTTATACAAGGATAGCTTAGTTTCGAGCTACCTTGATCATGATCGGACTTCGATTTAACTTTTTGCCATGTTTAGAATGAAAGAATAGTTTTACCGTTATCAATACGATATATCGTAAAATTTTTGGACGAAGTCGAAAAATATTATTAAAAAAAAAAAAAGAATTATCTCATTGTAATTCAAACATTTTTTTTTGTCGAAGTACTATATTATCTCATCATCTATTGTCATCGTCATTGATAAGAAAAAAAAAGAAAAAAAAAAAAAGAAAACTATCTCTTACCGTCGAACATTTTCATGACAAAAAAAGAAACAAAAAGAAAAACGATTAGAAGTTATAACAACGGTGAAGGTAGGAAGCGTAACACGTTTGCTTCTGGTCGTTAGATCAATGGATCAAGGCGGCTGCAAATCTGAGCGAACGAAAGTGAAAATATCACTTGACTGGTGGCTTACTCGAAAGTGAACCAATCAAATTCTTCTCTCATTTATATATATATTTTTTCCTACTTTCACTCTCTCTCTCTCTCTCTCTCTCTCTCTCTCTCTCTCTTTCTCTCTCTCTCTCTCTATTTCTCTCTTTTTCTTTTTCTGAATAATAAGTCATTATTTTGCTTTTTCTTTTTTTATTCAAATATATCTTACGATATTATTCTAAATCAGATCACAATCGTCGATCGATCTATGATTTCTCTATTGAGAGTATTGTCAATGAAATATGTATAATATTCATGAGTTGTCAATATGTCAATTGTCGTTATAGTCTCCCTTCTATTCTATTCGATTTTATCAAGGTTGCCTTCATAGATTCTTCCTTCTATTGTTTCCGAATCGTCTGGAGCATATACAGATATGAATTGGAACAATGGTATCGACGTTAACATATCGTGTGTCTTTTCGAAACAGTAATAACGTCAAATGGTATTCGTACATCACCATTCTTGACTTAGAATGTCACGTTGGTTATGTTTTACGAAGTAAGTGAAACTAAGTAAATGTCAATGATATTAGGAAAAAATTTTTTTTCATCTAAGATAATAATAAATAAAAAAGAACGTTTAAAATTCTCTTAAATTTCTATTAACAATTTTAATTACGAATATAGAAAAATATTAAACTTAGAAAATAGAATATAATTAACGATACTATTGATATTTATGATTGATCCATTATAATAAGTTTTATGATTATCTGTTTAAGATAAAATTGACTATGTATATTTGTTTTTGCAATTGAATTCATTCGGCAAAAAGGGATAATAAAACTAAAGTAGAGAGAGAGAGAGAGAGAGAGAGAGAAGGAGAGAGGGAGGGAGGGAAGGAGGGAGGCCATCGACTTAGTCCAAGGATTTCTTAGAACAACTTTAATCAAACGAGATAAAATAAAATAAAAGAAAAGAAAAGAAAACAAAAGAAAATCAAATCAAATAAAATGAAATGAAACGAAATGATATGATTCATAATATAATAATAACAATGTTAATTGATAGATGATTAATTCGCATGATTATTGGTGCGTTCGGTTAAGTATTTATACGCGGATGAGAAAGGATAGGAAAGGATGGAAAAGAGGATGAAAAGTTTTACGAGAGAGTCGATATCGAAGAAACTGTAGAAAGAAGAAAAGTGCAGAGTGCAATTGAGTGCATTGAGAGAGTGTCGAACACATAGAGGTAAACGAACGAACGAACGAACGAACGAACGAACGAATAAGCAAGCAAGTAAGTAAGCAAGCAAGTAAGTAAGCAAGCAAGTAAGCGAGTAAGAAAGCAAGCAAGCAAGCAAGCAAGCAAGCAAGCAAGCAAGCAAGCAAGCTAGCGAACGGTCGAAGAAGTGGTCAGTGGCCGCTGAAAGCGAAAGGACGAACGTCCTGTAACAGAGAGAAGGGGTTTTTCTCTAAGATAGTAGTAGGTAGGTGCACCTAACAACGTGAAAGACATTTTACCATTCCTTTCCCGCTCTCGTGCCGTTAAACGTTCGAAACTGTTTGTGGTATCATCGGTCAAGCACGTCTCATGTCACATTAAAAGAAGACTGCCGTATATATCTTACACCGTCGATATACATATACCGTCAACTTTCTAGATATTTTTATTTGAGAGAGTATACCGAGATTGGTGGTGGTAGTAATAGTGATAGTGGTAGTGGTAATGGTAATGGTAGTGGTGGTAGTAATGATAGTATGTGGTGGTAGTTGATGATAGTTGGTGGTGGTAGTGGTGAGATGGTAATGGCGATGGTGATGGTGTGATGGTGGTGGGCTTTGGACATTCGATGGACGTCGTTGTCATTTTTCAAATTCGACATTGTTTACTAGACGAATGTTATTCGTTCGAGCACGTTAACCAATGCCAGTCACTCGTGAAACGTGAAACTGGGCGAAAGTTGTAGACCTCTTATAGTGTCCGAATAGTAACTTGTTCTAAAAAAGAGAGAGAGAGAGAGAGAGAGAGAGAGAGAGAGAGAGAGAGAGAGAGAAGAGTAGATTCGTTAATAAGAAAATTTGATGAAGGAAGGACAACTCAGTTCGATCGTGTCTTACGAGTGATCGAGATCGATCTTAAAACCTAGTGTCTATCACGGTGTCCTTGTACGAATACCGGTGTACTTAATACGAACAATAAGAGTTTCATCTCGTTTTGGCATGATTCTGGAGAGGTGTAATAATAATAGACAATCCGTTCTCGTTTTACATCAAGTTCGAGCATCATCGTCTACCTGGTTTAGTTTCTACTCTGTGTTTTACAAGGTCAGTCAATATTTTTCACATATAATAGAAGAAAGAGGAGAAGGAGGAGGAGGAGGAGGAGGAAGAGAAGGAGCTACATACATCGAAGATACATGATCGTATAATCGTTGTATCGATGTATTTTATATTATCTTTTAGACATATATCATTGATATTAACTCGTAAAGTTTCTTTATTTCTCTTTGAATTTTCATAATTTCGGATGCTTTCGTTTTGCTTTTTTCTTTTCTTTTTATTTTCTCTTTTTTTTTTTCTTTTCTTTTTTTCTTCTTTTCATTAGCAAAATTAGTTAAATTTATTAAAGAAAGTTTTGTATACAGAGAGAAAGTGTCATTATTTGTCAATATCTACTATATGTATACGTATATATGTATATACACACATATATATATATATGTATATAATTACTATACTTTAATTAATAGATATACATATGTATCTATAATATATACGATCATCGATAATAATAGATAATGAATATATTATTTTAAATAATAAAACTTGTTGCTAGTCGAGAATCGCATAACGATCGATTTGCTCGAGTTACGATCGCTCGCTTCGTCGAAAGTGAAATCGTATATGGGGTAAAAAGTCTGTCACGTATTTTCACGTTAATTCACCAAAGCAAAATGAATTTTTATTATTGAATAATTTCCACCTTTCCAGCACGCCCCCTCCCTTCCCTCCCTCCCTTCATCTCTCTCTCTCTCTCTCTCTCTCTCTCGCACGCGTCCTTAATTTTCGCGATATTATTTGTTTAAGTTTGCGTTACGGTGTTCGAGATCGTTAATTCTTAGAAAAATAATAAGAACAAGTATTAGTGCCGATGAAGTACTTACCACTTACCGTTTACCTATTCATTAAATAGAAAAGTCCGTGTTGGCAGTTAACTTAGAATTCTTAACAATCTAGAGATCGTACGAATATTATTTTGTATGGACTGCCTAAGTGAAAGTCCTTTCATTTCGGTTAAATATTACTCCGAGATCTTTATCTTTATTATAACCCCTGTATACAGCATTCGGTTATATAGCGTGTTCTTTTATTTCAAAATATAATACTTGTCATCTTTGTTCCTTAAAAAAAAAAAAAAAAAAAAAAAAAAAAAAGAAAAGAAACGTACACGCATACTTGCAAATTAGAAATTAATCTTTTTATTGATTTTTCCTATATCTATTTTTTTTCTCGTTTCTTTTCTTTTCCTTTCTTTTTTTTTTTTTTTTCCCCTAAAGAATTATCGCATCATCGATACATTAATTATCATATTCACGACATTGATATTATTGGGCTCGAGGGAGACTCGTTTTTTTTTTTTTTCTTTTAATAATCTTCTTTATCTTCCTTATTTTCCTTTCTTTCCTTTTCTTTTCTTTCTATTTCTTTTCTTTTCTTTTTTATATTCTCCTTTCTCCCGACCTCTTCCTGTACGATAAAAATCTTGTGCTGCTCGTTATTCGACGCCGCCTCCCCTCTACCCCTCTACCTATCTCCTTCTCCCTTTCCCTTTGCCCCCCTTACCTTCCTTTATCAAGAAGCATAGCCAAGGATCGGGAGCAAAGTGCTTTTTATGAGGGCATGAGCTCGTGCGTACGTGGCTCGAACGAAGATTCCCCCTCTTTCTCTCTTCCTCCCTCACCGTCAGTAGTCCCTCATCCCAGTCCCCACTATTCCCCTCCCTCCTTCCTCAGTCTCTCCACCTCTCCACCCATTCCCTTCCCTCCCCTCCCTTTATAGAAAATGTATCGTCACGCTTGTGATTTCCACTTTAAGTGTACTCACGACTCATTGCGAATAATTTCTTTTACAGGGATGTTCGAAAGAACGACTTGAGGAGTCAGTTAGCGGAAGAGGAGAGAATATGTCGTCAAGAGGAAGAAAATATTGGTCCACCTCATCATCGTCATCATTATCATCATCATCATCGTCGTCTGCGTCATCGTCATCGTCATCGTCATCGTCATCGTCGTCGTCGTCGTCGTCGTCATCGTTATCGTCAGCGTTATCGTGGATCATTTTATTGTCGGTTCTCTTTGTTAGACTCGACCACGTGGCAGGTAGGAGTATGTAATCGCAATGAATTTCATTCTTACGTGAAAAAAGGAAGATTTACTGGGATCTTTAAATTTTCAAAAAATTAATTCCACTAATGTTTCGCTTTAAGGAAAATAATTAAGATTTAATATCGGCGCTTCGATTAATATATAACATTATATTATATTACATTACATTATAATATAATGTAATATTTTTAATATTGTTATATTACATTATATTGTGATACAATATATAATATAATAATTTTAAATACTGTTATATTGTATTATATTATATTATATTAACGATGAATAATTAATAATTTATTAATGCTATATTAAAATTTTGAATGTGGCGGCAATGGTGATGGTGGCGAGAAAGAAGTGAATGGTGTGGGGCGGGAATAGAGGGAGGTAAGGGGCGGAGGTAAAGAATGGCGATTGAGTAGAAGAAGAGGGAAAGGGAACGGAGGAAGATGATTTATTGACTATATATGAAAACAAGTTTTTTTTTTCCTTGTCGATTCCGATGATCAATAAAAATTCGTGAATTTCACTTAATACGATGATAATTTTATAATTTTATAATGTAGATCCGAGAACAGAACGAGTTTGCGAATTCATTTAAAATGGTTTATAGTAGACTTAGCTATTCGTAGTTAAGCGTCTACGTCCAAAGATGGACCGGACCTCGTTCATTCTCACGATTATCATTTCAATCGTGAGATCGTGGCCTCGTTAGTATTCAAGTTACTCTTTTTTTTTTTCTTTTCTTTTCTTTTTTCTTTTTTTTATACTTCTCATTCTTTCCTTTATACTTCATTAACGAGCATTCGCTGTTGAATTCAAGCGCGTACCGATTAATTAATTGCAAATCTTAAGGTATATAAGTCCTGTATACGTGTATGTGTCTGTGTTGTAGTTTACGCGTTGTATCGTATAAGGAAATGTGAGAAGCCACATTTACATATTAAAAACACGCACGCATACGTACAAATATATATATATATATATATTTATATATGTTCTTGTACGACGACGTCCACGACAGCGTTATTCTAAAACTGGAAGACTGGAAGGAACTACGGAAACGTGCAAAAAGCTTGCCGACCTTGTCCCACTTCCGTCAAAGCTTTAGGAACGAGCTTACTCGTTCGTGCATGTTAGTTCGTGCATATGTACACGTATATAGGGTTAGTTGTGTTTAGCCATTTGAAATAATACAAATACGTAAGTAATATTATATGTAAACAGTTTGTACATATTTTATTATATATATATATATATATATGTATGTATGTATGTATGTATGTATGTATGTATGTATGTATGTAAGAAGAATATTTAATTAAGAGTATTACAATGGGATATACCGAAACTTTTTTCTTCCTATTTTTTTTTTTTCTTTTTTTTTTGTTAATTATCAAACAAGAACACACGATTATTTTATTATTGCACAAGAGAGAGAGAGAGAGAGAGAGAGAGAGAGAGAGAGAGAGTTCAATTTATAAAGGATCCTTTTATTTTTTATTTTTTTGCTTTTTTTCCCTTTTTCTTCCTCTTCTTCTCTCGACACAATCGTATCCTCCAAGAATTAAAGCTTTTTTTAAGAGAAAAGAAAAAAGGAAATAATTTCTTATACGGCTTGCGCGAAGTAGGAAAAATATATATTCTTGTGTTTTCAATTTTAAATACGAACACTCTCTTGAATATATATATATATATATATATATATATATATATATATATATAAATGTGTATAGTAGTTTATACCTAAGAGAACGCGTATTGTCACATTGGACAATATTTTGACGAAGATGCAGGACTCGTTCCTTTTTCGTCTTCTTTTTCTTTTTCTTTTTCTTCTTGGTCCGTTCATATCTCGAAAGTAATCTTCCTTGCTTCGAATAGACCGAAAAAGAAGTGAGATGGATAGATAGATAGATAAACGGAATGAGAGAGAGGGAAAGAGAGAAAGAGAGAGAGAGAGGGGGAGAGAGAGAGAGAGAGAGAGAGAGAGAGAGAGAGAGAGAGAGAAAGAGAGCTTGCGAAAATGAAGCTGTGTATATGAAGAGGGAGAGAGATCGGCTTCAAAGAGAAGAAAGGAAGAAAGAAATGGAAAAAAGTAAAAAAAAAATGGAGAGAGATAGACAGATATAGAAAGAGAAAGAAAGAGAAAAAGAAAGAGAGAGAGAGAGAGAGAGAGAGAGAGAGATCAAATCGACAATCGGATTTTCTTACGAAGCTTTCGGTTCGGCTCCTTTTCTCATTTGTTTACGATCCTTTATCACAAAATGTTTTAAGCTTCTTCGAGCTCTTACCTCGGATGAAAAAAGTTACGCTCGGTTACTCCTTAAGAAATTATCTCTCACTGGATTAATATTCTATCTAGTAGCATTATTTAGCATCAATATATATATATATATATATGTGTGTGTGTGTGTGCTGCCTATAGCCAAAGAACGAATTTCGAGTTGATAAGTTTTCGTTTTGAATTTCCATTAATTAAGTTTGCCGCGACGACGACGACGACGACGACGACGATGAGGACGAGGACGACATTGACACAGTTTCATACACAGTCAAGCTGTAGTAGCAATTTTCTGGCTTTAAATCGTGCCTTGTTCGCGTTATCGTCCATGTTTGAAGTTGAATTAGGATAGGGATGATTTTCAAAGCTACGATTTTATATGTCTTTATGTTCTATATATATATATATATATATATATATATATATATATATATATATATTTAGATATATATATTATAAGAAATAAATAGTTTTGTTTATTTGTCTATTTACATATGTTGACTGCTATGTAATAACATTACATATCCATGTAATATGTTCTACTATATAAGTGGGTATATTTAATGTATAATAAAGTGCATTTAACAGGAGTATTACTCAGACCGGAGATAGTGACGTTTAAAGGTGGAGAAACTCGTTAGGAAAAAAACTGAGAAGTTAGTTAGTATGTATGTATGTATGTATGTATGTATGTTGTATGTATATGTTTGTATGTATGTACGTATGTATGTACGTCTATGGCTATCGTAAAACGTACACCAATCTCTTTGCGATATGGTGAAAGTCCAACGTGATAAGTAAGTTTGACGTACACCTGTGGCCTCACATGCAATACTCGATCAACTTTGTTCGCTAGGATATTTCAAAGAATTCTAATACGTTCTCTACATATAACTAAAGAATTTTATACAAACACATATATATATATATGTATATATGTAATAATAGTATGTAGTAATATTATGTAGTTATATGATAAGTAATACAATAAGAATATATAATATAACATATAGTAATAATTATGATATAATTATATATTATATATATATTTATTATATATATATTATAGTATACAATAATAAATATATATATATATTATATTATATATATTATTTATATATATATATAATAAGTAATATAATAAGAATATATAATATAATATATAGTAATAATTATAATATAATTATATACTATTTATATATATATATATATATATTTATTATATCTTTTTTATATGAACACAAATATTATATTATATATTATTTATGTATTTATATTTATATATATATATGTATATACAAATATAATATTTATATATTATAATATATAATATTTGTATATATATACATATATATGTTATTTTTTTTAAATCTATAACAAATAAGATTCGTTTTTGACACATATCTTTCTCTTTTTTTCTCTCTCTCTCTCTCTCTCTCTCTCTATATATATATATATATATATATATATATATATATATATGTACATATAAAGTTAATCGTAAAAATCACTTCGATTGTGAGTATTATCCGTGAAACGATCGTACACGTAGAAACGTAGGAAGGGTAAACGTGTAACATTGCATCGCACGAGCCTGAAATCCGATCGTATCGGGAATCCGATAGTTGTGCGACCCGAATAAATTGAGATACGATCTTTTCAGTAAGATATAGAAACTTCTTTCGCTTGGGGGCTATACACCAGTCGTATACGCGATGGATCACTGTGTGTTTTCACTGTGGTCATTGAAACGTCGTATTTGCTTTCCTATTTGTTGGAGATCTTTTTTCTTCTTTTTTCTCCTTTTTTTTTTTCTTTCTCTTTTCTGTTTTTTTTTCTGTTATTTTTATTTTTTTTTTATTTTTTTTTATTTTTCTTTAAATATCAACCCGACAGAATTAAACCTTCTAATCGGATCGATTAATATCTTTTCGATTTGACGATTAATAATTGATCATTGATAATTATTAATTATCGTATTCAATATCAATGCCACTCGTTTTCTTTTTATTTTCAAAAAAAAAAAAAAAGAAAAATAAAATGAATAAATTTATTTATCACGTATAAAATATCTTGTTAAGTATTGAGAATATTTCACTTGTACGGCGATTACATTTTTTGCTCCTTTCATTTCTTTCTTCTCCTACTTCTTTTTTCTCTTTCTTTCTTTCTTTCTTTCTGTTTTTTTTCTTTTCTCTTTTCTTTTTCTTTTTATTGCACGAGATACGCACCTTCGTAACTCTCAATCTTTTCATCGTTTTTCGAATAACCGGAAGAATTCGATTACGTTGCATTACGTTAAGCTATATCACGTCGTATACCATGGCTAAAGTGAAATTGCCTGTATACGAGCTTAAAGTGAAATTCATAGAAGAAATATTGGTATATAATAATATTTTTAATTTTTTTTCTTCTTCTTCTTCTTCTTTTTCATCTTCATCTTTTCCTTACTGTTCTTTCTCTTTTTCGTTATTTTTAGAAAGACCGAATAAAATGTAAAAAATATGAATATTGATCGATGATTATATATATATATATGTATATATGTATATATATACATGTATATCTGTATATAAAATTACATAATTATTGAAATGTTCTTTTCAGAAAGAAGTAGCGTAAGTTACGTAACTATAATTTAAATAAAACCTGGTTATTACCAATTCTAAGTTTAGGTAATGTTGGACGATAAAACACATACAGACACACACACACATATATATATATATATATATATATATACACACACACACACACGAGTAGAGAAATAAATGGCTTGTTACCTTTCGATAATATCGTGACTTTTTGATTTTATAGTCTTTTTTTTTCGGTTAATTTATTAGATCCATCCGATACGCTTGAACAATTTTAAATAGTTAAGTTTAATAAAGTAAAAGGAACGGGAATAATTATCGTTTGTTAAAAATGTTCCGAGTTCTACTTTTAATACGATTACTTTCCATTTTCTTTGTCTCTTTCTTTTTTCATTTTTTTTTTGTTTTTGTTTTTTTTTTTCTTTTTTTTTTCTTTTTCCTATCACGACGGAAATTTAGTTATTTCCGTTATATGTAAGAAGAGTAAGATATACGAGTGAATAAAAAGAAAAAAAAAAGGGAATAAATAAATAAAAAAAAGAAAATGAAATGAAACGATAATACAACTAACGCGATAATATATACGAACGTAGAGAGATTCAATCTAGATTTGATTTTATAGGAAAAAAATGAGAAGAAGAAGAAGAACAGAAAATAAAGAACAAAAATATATATAGAAGAAAAAGAACATATATATATATATATATATTTATTTATTTAAAAGAAGAAATGGCTGTCTATTTGTATGTGTATCTCATGCTTAATATACGATCGAAACAACTAAGATGCAGTGCAATGCAAAAGTATCATTAATTCTCTTTTCTCCATTGATACAATCCTGAGAAATTCTTGTGTTCCTTCTTCGGCACGCACGCACAAGAAGGGGTATCGTTAGAAAACGTTGAAAGACCTTGTGGGATTTAGTGATGGCATCGTGCTCATATCCTACTTTGTATTGTCATGTGATCTCCCATACGATGGATTAGCCATTCCAGAGAACTAGTAAATAAAGTTTCAATTTTTTTTTTATCCATCATGTCAGCTCTCAGCTTATGTTACTGCGATTTGTTTTTTCATTTCTTTTTTTGATTTTTAATTGATTGATTTCTTTTCTTTTTTTTTTTTTTTTTTTTTTTGGAGCATACGTATACATACGTACATACGTACTTATGTACAAGGAGGATGGAATTTATTATAGACCTTATATATATATATATATATATATATATATATATATATTATATATATATATGATATATGATATATATATATATATATATATGATATATATATATCATTGAAGATCATTTGAGGGAAGATTAAGGGTTTAGATTTTTTTCATAGATGGATTATTTTTTTTCTCTCATTTTTTTCTTGTTCTTTTCTCTTTTCCTTTTTTTTTTTTTTCCTTATTTTTTAATCGTTTAGATTTTGTAATTTCTTCGACGTGGAATAGGAATATGCGGTTATAAGGAAATTTTCAAAAATTCTTAAAATAATCGAAGTTATCTCGCGACATACGTCAGTTCGATCAGTAACAATAGAAACTTTTAAATATGATTTTCATTTGAAAATGTCAATTTAAAAATTGCCGATGAACGGGAGAAATATCTCAACAATCAATTGTTCGATATAGATCAATTTTTTTTTTTTTTTTTTAATTAAAGGAATATATATATATATATATATTTTTTTTTACGAATACTGAATCTTATAATATCTTGAGTTCTAATCATATTTATTAATACTTAAGGAAATTTAGAATTGTTCGAGAAGCGATTTAAAAAGAACAAAAAGAAAAGAAGAGAAAAATTAACGAAGAAAGAAATTATGCCTAACTTTAAAGTGTCATTAGAAAATAATACGAATTCTTTTCTCTCTTTTTTATTTCTTTTCTTTTTTTTTACTCTCGTAAAAATTCACTTCGTCAAAAATTTCACGGAGCACAACATTTTTTTTTCTCGATATTTTTACACTTTCAAATTTACCAAAAATACTTTCAGACGCAATAATCATTAGAGGCGACATGAACGTTTTTGATATTTTAATAACAAAAAGAATAAAAAAGGAAAAAAAAAATAAATTAAAACCAAAAAAGAATATTCTACAACTTTTTACATCTTCAAAATATAATATTGGTATAATAAGATATTGTAAAAGTGTGAATGTGTCATTTTGTATGTGTTTTGTTATATATATATATAAAAAAAAAAAAAAAAAAAAAAAAAAAAGAAAAAAGAAGGAGAAAGAAAAAAAATTGTAAATAATAAATTATTTTTTATGTTCCCGGATCGAAATCTCTCGTTAAACTAGACAAAACGAGAGATCGGTTAAGCAAAAGGACTAAGAGGGACATAGTGAGGGACACGAGTTCGAGACCTCTCTTCCGTTCGTTTGCGTAACTTCAACGACAACTACGTTATTAAAACTTTCTCGGTTACAATTTACGTGCTTGCGGTACGTGCAAGTCGTGAATCGTTTATTTACGAATTTCTAACGCCGTTCTAACTTTCGATCGAAATCTGAATTCCCCTAGCTTATGCGAAATTCAATGTTGAATAACTCATTAAATGTTGTTAATAGAATTCAAACGAGAATTTCTTTAGACATTTCTCAAAATATTTCTACGTTCTTCAATTTGTCGATCTTTTGACAAATTTTTTCAAGCTTAATGAAACGCATTGATATCTCTTATGGCTTACGCCTCATGTCGAGGATAAAAAGAAAAAGAAAAAGGAAGAAAAGGAAAAAAAAAAAAATAAAAAAGAAAAAGAAAAAATATAGGAAATAAGACGTTCGTAGTTGATACAATTTTTCGACTAGTTTTTGGTATAATAAATATTTTTGTAATAACTCGTCGAGTTGTCGTTACGACGTCGATATCATTTGTAGAACCTGTAACTAGTTCTTCGCCACGCTCAATGATTTTCTTTGAAGCGAGATAAAGATCGGTTAGGTAGTTGGATTAATGTAGTTTGCCGATAAATATGGTCTATATGTAAATTCGTTAGGAATAAAGAAATAAAAAAAAAAAAAAAGAAAAAAAAATAAAAAAAAAAAAGATAAAAAAAAGAAACAGATAAAAAAGGAAAAGAAAAAAAAGAAAAGAAATATCATCGCCGATTCCTTTCACTTAAAGTATACTTTTACGTACACGCTTATATATGTATACATATATACATTTCGAAGAACATATTTTATGTATATACAAAACATATTTAATTCGCAAATACTAATTCGTTTATATGTTGTATTACAACGTGGTCGTAGTTTGCTGCTCGAGAAAATTATATTTTACGCACGACTGAAAGCAAAAATAATACATTGCGAAAGGTTAAAACAACGATTACGAAACGATCGATGGCTCGTACGAGTTCTCGAATAGATTTGTATTTGTGCTGAGTGGGTGGATGGATAGGGGGCGGGAAACTTGGGAGAGAGATTTTTTTTTTTTTTTTTTTTTTTCCTTCTATGCCCATCACGCTAAGATCATCGTACTCTGTGCACTTCGAATTGCATCGAATTTGCACTATGATTTATATTTAACAAATTTGTAAACATTATATGTGATAATAGATCGATTAATATTAAATTCAATCAATTGTACAGAATGATTTATATCAATCGAATATAATAATAATAATGATAATAATAATAATAATAATAATAATAATAATAATAATAATAATAATAATAATAATAATAATAATAATAATAATAATAATAATAATAATAATAATAATAATAATAATAATAATAATAATAATAATAATAATAATAATAATAATAATAATAATAATAATAATAATATAATGATATATTATAAATAATTAATATTTGGGATGTTTCGATTTGATATTTATTGCGATTTATTAAAAACACGTTATCTTTCAAATTATTTATATAATATCCGTTGTTCCAATGATCGTGATCGATTTAAAATTACTTTTCTTTTTCCTTTCTTTTTTTTTTTTTCTTTTTTTTTCTTTTTTGATAATAAAAATTAATTGTACGTTTTGCCGTACGTAACATTGATTATTTAATCAAGCTAATTATTTAATCAAGCTGATCAATTTGATCAAAGCTAATTATTACGAGTACGTAATATTAAAATTATTATATAGAATTTATGCACTTGTATATTTGATTTGTAAATTTTCTTTCAGGATGTCAATTTTATCCAATCGGAGAATATTTGAAATTCGTAAGAGTACCAGAAAATCTTCGGGAGGGATCAGAGATATTATCTTTGGAAGCACATCCTAGAAATCGTCTTACTATTATTCCAGTGGACAAGGTACATTTCATTCGTTTTTTTTTTCTTTTCTTTCTTTTCTTTTTTTCGAAACTCTCATTCATTTAGTTGAACTTTTTGTTAGATAATAAGGTCTATTTGAAAGAGAAATGAAAAAAAAAAAAAAAAAGAAAAAAAGAAAATAGAAAAAAACGAAAAGGACGCACGTCGTTTGATTTCTTTTTCTTTCTTCCTTTTCTCTTTTATTTTCTTTTTTTTTCTTTTTCTTATGAAATGTATTAATGTTTCAGGAAGAGGACAGTCGTTTCTTTTCTTACAAAGACGTGAATGGAACTCACGTTTCAGTGACGTTGGCACACTCATTGGAGGATCTGGTCGATGCGGAATCACCTAGAAATCTGTTAAAGTTCCGGGTCATCTGTGATTATACCGATGGCAGAGACACCTTGGTGAATGCTCAAATACATATAGAAATATAAATATATATATATATATATATATATATATATATATATATATATATGTATATATATGTATACATATATATTTTTTTTTCTCGTATATATCATACTTTCGCTTTTTCGTCAAACGTTTAATTAGAGCGTTCTAGGTAACCGGTCTAAACTAAAGCTATCTCTCTTTTTTCTTTTTTTTTGTTTCTTTTCATTTTCATTTATGATTACGGACATTTTTTCTTTCTATCTTACTTTCTTTTTTTTTTTCTTTTTTTTTCTTTTTCCACTTACTTATTTATATTTTTTTTTCCTTTCTTTAACGTTCAGTCATGCATTAACAAACATTTACGTAATGACATTAACAGGAGAATGTAGGTACGGTCAATTCGGTCTTTATCAGATCATTATCTTTTTTCTCTTCCAAGTGAATTTTCCAAAGCGTAATACTTATTCTTTCTCTTTCTTTTTTCTTCTTTTTTCGTCTTTTAGCAGTAACTCTCAGAATCTCTTTTCTCGTTTGAATGAAAAATTAATAACATAAGCCAAAGAGAGTAACATGTGGATAATCACAGAGAATTCTTCTCTTCATCCTGTTGAATAACGGAGATTAAAAATCGTGATACTGCTAAGAGCTTAACTGTATATCTATTTACCATATCTATTCCTAATCCGTGATATCGTCTATTTAAATCGATTTTTTTCCCCGTGAGAAAATACGTAAAAGTTTAGTTGAATATCGTGAACGTATTTAAATAATATAAGTACCGTATGAAATTTATCTTTTCTCTTTTCTTTTCTTTTTTTCTTAGTTTCCTTAACGATACAATCATCGATAACATCAATTATTTTAATAATTTTCAATAACGTCGAACAACATTATTTATGACAATTAATTTTTGATATAATTTAAAATTGAAAAAAATTTAATTTTAATCCTTCAACTGGATCGATTAAAAATTACAAATATATGAGAGTTAAATAGACGTGTACGTTTTTGTTGTTCAGGTCTCATCGCATTTATCAGTCACCGTATACGTCGAGGATATTAATGATCATGCTCCAGAATTTATCGATGCTCCTTATCATGTGACAGTGGATGAGCTTACATCGACCGGTAAGACATATTTATTATACTTAACTATTTATTTTCATTAAATATGTACATATACATATATACATATATATGTATGTATGACAAGTTTAAGTTTATCTAACTTTAATGAAATGAAGTTATGCCAAATCGTTTTCAAAATACTTTGTTCTTATTTCTTCTCTAAGTATATCCATTTCAATTTAAGACAAACGACGAGTAACTGTGTTTTTAAAGCTATTGGCTACTGAAAGATTCATGAACACTTTTAAAATTCTCCATTAGAAACGAAGAAGAGAGAGAGAGAGAGAGAGAGAGAGAGAGAGAGAGAGAGAGAGAGAGAGAGAGAGAAGTGATATATATATATATATATTTAAATAAATTCGACGCTTTGTTACTTTTAATTTTTCTTTTATCAAATCTGATTTAAATATTAACCGAAGTAGTTAGCACAGTTAATTATTTCATCCGTTGAAATTCACCCTTTTAAAAAAAACAAAATGACATTGACATAAACGAATGAAAATTATTAATGGATAATTCGAAGAATGATTCTCAATAGAATTTTTATAAAGAAAATATTAAAATAATAATATAAATATATTTCAATTCTTGAAATTCCTCCAATGGAAGAATTTTCAAGGGGACGATTCTTGTTCCACGAAATTTTGAACGAGATTACGATGAATTCGTTGACCTATAACAAAGTAGGATTTCCGTAAGTCGAAAGACTATCTTTCCTTGTCCCTTTCCCCGCTCCCTCTCACCCTTTACTTCCTTCCTTTCTACTCCTTTTGCTAGATCCATTTCGTTTAATCCTAAAGTTTTGTCAAATTTCGCTGGAGTGTCTCTCGTTGGAATTCAAAATATAGAAAGAGAAAGAGATAGTTAGAAAGAGATAGATAGATAGACGGAGAGAAGAAGAAGAAGAAGAAGAAGAAGAAGAAGAAGAAGAAGAAGTAAAGGAAGTTAGTTCGAGTTAATTTCTCTTTTATTATCACAAAAATAATAAGATTTTAATGACGAGAAATATTGAATCTTAATGTTATGAAATAAATTCTTTACTTGAATAATATATCAAAGAAATTCGTTGTTGGACGAATTTCAGGTGTTACAATATTCCGTGGGATTCATGCAGTCGACGGGGACAAACCAAATACACCGAACAGTGATATTCATTATGCTATAGTTAAAGGAAACGAACAGGGAAAATTTTCCCTTGAATCCGGACATAGAACAGCTTTGATATTACGTAAACCATTGGATTACGATAATGGCGATCGCGAGTACACCCTCGTTATCACAGCTACTGTGAGTTTTTAAACGAACGGATTCTTTTTATTGTCATCATTATTATTATTATAATTATTATTATCATTATTATTTATTTTATTATTATTATTATTTTATTTATTTTATTATTTATTATTTATTTTATTATTATTATTATTTTACTTATTTTATTATTTATTTTATTATTATTATTTTGTTTATTTTATTATTTATTTTATTATTTATTTATTATTATTTTATTATTATTATTAATTTTATTATTATTATTATTATTATTATTATTTTATTTATTTTATTATTTATTTTATTATTTATTTTATTATTTATTTATTATTGTTATTATTGTTATTATTGTTATTAT